ATTCTGGTTGTACCAATCATGTTTCTAATACGATGTAGAGATTCCTTACAACCCAAATCATTAACCCAAATGAAAAGTTTGTCTTCATGGGGAACCGTGTCAAAGCACCAGTTAAAGCTATTGGAACCTATCGATTGATTTTAGATACTGGACATCATTTAGACCTTTTTAAAAAACTTTATGTCCCTGTTTCTCATATTTTGATTTCAATGTCTAAACTTGATTTTATCGGATACTCCTTTAAATTTGAAAATGGTTGTTTCAGTTTATTTAAACACAATCATCTCATAGGTTCTGGTATTCTTTATGATGGCCTATATAAGCTTAAACTTGATAACCTTTTCGCTGAGAATCTGATGACTTTGCATCATAATATTGGTACTAAATGTTATTTTATGAATGAAAGTTCAGCTTATTTGTGGCATAAATATTTAGGTCATATATCCAAATAAAGAATTAAAAGATTAGTAAAAATTTCTTCTCAAGTTGTTATTCCTATAGTTGTTGAACAGTTTGACAACTTGCAGAAATAACAAATAGAAGATCAAACACCCCACAATGAAACTGTCACTAATGAACATGCATTAGATGAACCACATGAAGTAGCAACTAGAAAGTATCAAGGAAAAAATTGGTCTGTTATTTAAGATGATTATGTTGTTTATCTACATGAGTATAAATTTGACTTGTGAGTCAATGACGATCTAGTTTTATTTTCACAAGCCAAAGAAAGTGAAAATTCTTCTAAATGGTTAGATGCAATGAAAGATAAGTTGAAATCGATGAATCAAAACAAAGCGTGACTCAAATGACAATATCGAATGATATAAAGTCAGACCAAAGGTTTCACTCAGAAAGATGGTATTGACTATAAAGAAACATTTTCTCCAATTTCTAAGAAAAATTCATTTAGAATTATCATGACACTAGTAGCTCATTTTGATTTGGAGTTACACCAAATGGATGTGAAAACTACCTTTTTGAATGAGAATTTAGATGAAGAGGTCTACATGACTCAACATTTTGGTTGAAGGAAAGAAACACATGGTGTGTAAACTTAAGAAATCAATATACGGACTTAAGCAAGCTTCCCGAAAATGGTATCTTAAGTTCAATGATATCATCACACCCTTTGGAATTAAAGAAAACACTGTTTGAACAGTGTTTATATCTATAGGTCAATGGGAGCAAGATCATATTTCTCATTCTGTGTGTTGATGACATCTTGTTGGCTACTAATGATCTTAGTTTATTATATGAAACGAAGAATTTTATCTTTAAGAACTTTGAAATGAAAGATATGATTGAGGCATCTTATATGATTGGAATTAAAATATTTCATGATAGATCGCAAGGATTGTTAGGGTTGTCTCAGAAAACATATATCAAAAGAGTTCTTAAGAGATTCAATATGGAAGGGTGCTTAGCAAATGTTGCTCCAATTTAAGAAAGAGATAAATTTAGCCTTATGCAATGTCCAAAGAATGATTTGGAACATAAGCAAATGGAAAAAAATCCTTATGCATCTATTGTTGGAAGTTTAATGTATGCTCAGACTTGTACCAGACCAGACATTAGCTTTGTTATTGAGATGTTGGGCAGGTATCAAAGTAATACAGGAATAGATTATTGGAAAGCTGCAAAGAAAGTTTTGAAGTACCTGCAAGGAACATATGACCACATGCTCACTTATAGAAGATCTAAAGATCTTAAAGTGATAGGATATTCAGATTCAGGTTTTGTTAGATGTGTTGATATTAGGAAATCAACATTTGACTATCTGTTCCTTTTGGCTGAAGAAGCAATCTCATGGAAAAGTGCGAAGTAGACTATCACAGTTGCTTCCACTATGGAATCTTAATTTGTGGCTTGCTTTGAAGCTATAATTCAAAGTTTATGGATGCGGAATTTTATTTCAGGACTTAAAATTGTCGACAGTATTGACAAGCCACTCAAATTTTATTGTGATAACTCTGTAAGAGTCTTATTTTTCAAAAACGATAAGTATTTCAAATGTGCTAAACACATGGAATTAAAATATCTTGCTGTTAAGGAAAAAGCTCAGAAACATAGAGTGTTAATTGAGCATATTAACACAACTCATGATTGCAAATCTTTTAACGGAAGGCTTGTCACCGAAGACATTTCCTGAATGCAGTCGTGAGAATGGATAATACCAAAACCCTTTATTAACTTTATGCTTTTTGTATTTTGACATTTTGGTCTCAATTTTTCTTGTTTCTGATATTTATAAATCTTGTTTTTATCGTTATTGTACAATTTATGTTGCATAATGTTTAACAAGATCTGTCATTTAATAGACATTATGAGACCATGATTTTAATTCTCAATATACTAATTATGTAATTGATATTGTGATACATGGAAGAGACTGTTGATAAATTGATGCACAACTGTCATGATTCATATTAATTTCATATTTATTAAATAATTTATGATTTAACCAATATAAAAAATTATTTATCTTACATTTTGTGCAGTATTTTCTGCACTATTAAAATTAAGTGAGCCAAGTGGGAGAATGTTAAATTTTTTTTATTTGTGGCTCACATTTGTGGCTCACATTTATTTTAATGACTTGTCATATTTATTTTAATAAATTATGTCATAATAAATGATAACTTAAGTTATTTATTTTTATAACTCATAATAACTTAAGTTATTTATTTTCTTAACTCATAACTTATGTCATAATAAATGATAACTTAAGTTATTTATTTTCTTAACTCATAACTTATGTCATAATAAATGATGACTTAAGTTATTCATTTTTATAACTCATAAAAACTTAAGTTATTTATTTAATAAATTATGTCATAATTTACGATAACTTATGAATTTATTTTTGTAACTCATGTAACCCCTAAATTGAATAGAGGTTACTAACTTGTATCATTGATTTTAATAATAATATTAATTAATTTATTAAATTATCATAAATTCTATTGGTTAGTAGCCCCCTTGATGGATGGTGGCTAAATAGAGCATAATTCAGAGAATCGGTACTCTCTGTTCCTAATCACTCTGTACATTTCCTCCGTCAGAAAGTACAGGAAGTTTCAAGGGATTAGAGAGAGAAATTTCATCTCTTCAAGATTAAATTTTATCATCATGAATACAGGTATGTGTTACTTTATCATAGATATGTAAAAATCATGAAATTAAAAGATATTGACTATTATGTATTTTTAGAATTTGTGTCGTAAATTTCAAATATGAATTTCTAACAGTATGCGCGTAAAGCAACGTCTTGATAGAAAACTTTTCCAAGATAAAAGGAAATTCAAGTTCATGGCATTCATTCACAAAATCAACCTGATAAAATTCTTACAATTACTCTTCCCCAACGGTTATACTCAGCAACAACCTGAAGCTCCGATCTCAACCCGTCACTTTGAGGGGAGATAATAGCAACATGTGTTCCTCATCTTATCTGTCAGCACATGGAGCAGCCACTTTTACCGGAAATTCTCTACAGCCAACAAATAGCTTCAAATCAGGTCCGTCCAACTCAAAACAGAATGATTAATTCTAACCAATTATGTACCGCTAGAGATTTTCAGCTCTTATATATAACATAAAATACATTACAAGGAAGTTCAACAAAGAGAGCAGTAAATTATGTGTAGTTCATCATCTTCTTTTCATTCTTTGTTTCCTCTAGTTTTTCTTCCAAGGCAGCTTGCAGCTCCGACTTTTTAGTTCAAAAATTATATCTAGCGAGTAGCTGCAGGCCAAGAACGTAGAAAGTGGATTGCCACAAACTGAATTTGTAATACAACCACAGGTAGTGAATAATTGCTTTTGTAAGCTGGTTGTGAAGTTTGTTGGTTGTATTAGAATGGCAGAAGTTAGCAGCTTTGTAACTAATTTTTACTAGTGTAAAAAAAAACACTTCCACTTGACCAAGAAAGCCAGATGGTTTTTCCTGCAACCGTCTTCTACCTCTGTTTTTAAATCTTTTTTTCATCTTTTCATCTCTGCTGTGCTCCAGTCACTAAGAAATTGAGCTCTGAGCTGGTTGAATTGCTCAGTTGAGATCAGCATCGAGTACATTATTCATAAAATAAACAAAAGCAACACCCAACATTCTGTTATTACTAAACTAAAAATTTCATTTTAACTTGAATTATTAAAAAAAAAAAGAAGTGATTTCCATTACAAGTTAGATATAAATAATATTTAAGTCGAGGTTCATGTAACAAAAAAAGAGTTGTAAACAAGCGAGATAAGCCGAGTATATAATAGATTAGAATTGATTTGGTACAATTATAATTTGTTCATGTTCAGCGTGAGTTTGTGTCAAGCTTTCACATATTGTTCAAATTTGACTTGTTTAAATTTTTGAATATTTGAACTTGATCTGTTTATAATAAGTAAATAAGTATTTAAATGAGTGAAATATTCAAACGAGCATCTATATTTTTATATAAAATTTCAATAAATAATTTTATAAATCTAAATAAATGAACAATTTGATAGATCAGATAAAAAAATTAACCAACACATATGATCTCATCTAGTGTCTATAATAGATATTTGCTCACAAAAATATATTTTAAGATTGAAAAAACATGAAAACAAGAGCCAAAAAATCTGATGGAACTTGTACTATCAAATTACTCATAATGCTAAATCATTCCTCAATTAATATAATATTATATTAATATCAAATATATAATTAAATAAATTCTAACTAATCAAATTTTATTTAAATAATCTATCATATATGATATGCTATCATTCGAAATTAATATCAAATATTTAACAAGTTATTTATTGAATAACAAACGGGTTTGTTCGTGAGCACAAATGAAAAAGTTTAATTATATTCATGTTTAATTCATTTAACCATCAAACTTTTAAAAAATGTTGAAGCTTGTTTATTTACATGATCAAGTCTTAATCGAGATGAGTTCGAATTGTTTATCGAGTGTATTAGTTCATTTACAGCCCGTATACAAAGTAGCAAGTTCGACCCAACAGCAACTTTCCCCACAACATTATAGAATAACTACTGAGAAGTATTTACCCTTGTCATTTCCATTTTATTTTCACTTCTATGCCAAGAGCTCATTTTATGTTCACCGCCTGTAAGTCAGTCCAGTTCATCTACTACAAAGTAGTGATTTTAGTTTCATTTCTATTTGCATCAACCAAATAATGAATACAGAAATTCCCATCGTTTTTCATTTTTTTTAACAAACCAGTGATGAATTGCACGCATTTTCATTAGTGAACAGGGACTTAAGTAGTTTAGTTGCTGAATCCTAGGTGCTTCAAATTAAATAAGAGAATTTGACATAATGGAGCTTTACCGTTACATCCATAAACCCAGGTTCATCTCTAACCTGGCTTTCTTTAATGTAAGTTCCGATTCTTCACAGAGGCAGGAAATTATGCTTTCCCTATAAATTCAACATCAAACAACAGAGTTGAATCTGGGGGAATAATGCAAGTACCTGAACCAAGCAAAACCATGTCAGAAGAATAATCTCAACAATGAAAAAGTTGCCCAACAAAGTTATTCACAATAAAGCTCATTAGGCATTTGATAGTCATTTGAATGGGTTGTCATTTTTCTTAATTTGTGATTCACAGCTTCGTTATTATGAGCAGGATGCCAACTAGCATTTCAGAATTAGGACCTGTCAAGTTTGAGCTGAAGAATTTCGGTACAGAATTGATAATTTTTGGATTTTAAGAAATATTCTTCAGTTTAGTGGTGTAAAGATTAATATTTAGCTCATTCATTCATCACTGTTGGTTTCATGTCCAAATTAAAATGATTGACAGCGATATTAGATCCATAATCAATAATAAAACTTACGATAAATTATATGAAATAAATCCACAGTTAGAATTTTTGTTTTTATTTCTTAGCTAGCTTGTAGGAGATTGGCAATTAGCATTGAGGAGTCATAGAAGAGGAATTTAGAAACTTTTTTTTTTTTTTTTGCTTCATTATATTTTGGAGTTCACTGAAGAATATGGCAAGCGGCTGGTGTGCTCAGCACCCTGAAACTGAGTGCTTAAACAAAATGTAAAATAGCAGACAATATAAAAAAAAAAAGAGTAAACAATGGCAGCATGAGAAAATCAATGGCTATTTAATTTCAACAATGTAACCAGTAGAGCACACTGTAAATGGAAAGCAAAGAAGGAAAGCTTACCTCCTTTACAACCTGCACCTCTGACTCCGTATCCAAGTTCTGGAGGTAGTTTCAATGTGCGCTTGCCACCTATACCGAAAACGGAAAAGAAGCGGCACCTCATCATCACTGTCAAAGTGGAAAATAAATAAATAAAAAAAAGCTTGGGGCGATGCTTATACCTGCAAGCATTGGAGGAATTCCCTCGCCACCTAAAATACCCTGATCCCATCCTTTAATCACCTGAGAAAGAAGCTTCAATTCAGTTAAGGGCTCATTTTTTTGCTTGTAAATAGAAAACTTGTTTAGGAAATGATAACTTTATTCACTCATCTTACATGAAAGAAAAAAAATATATTTTTAAGTGAATTTTGAGAAGCTTGTGGAGTTAGAAATCGGTGTTGGTTTCTAAGTATGGTTGTTAAAATAGAAATGCATTATAAAAGAAATAAACTTAAAAGGAAATGTATGTATTGAAAAGTAAAAAAAAATTGTTTGAATGAATACAGTATAAACGCATAAATTTGCAATTATGTGTTTGGGTGGGTACAAAGCAAAATAAATGTAGTATAAGCATCATAAGAGACGAATGACCAATAGCAGTTGACAGCCAGAAGGAGGCAATAACAGATGGCGGGCTATGCCATCGGAAGGAGACGAGGCCTGCGGCAAGGATGCAGGCGAGGGCAGCAGCGACGATGATGACAAGTGGGCAGAGAACTGCAATGAAGACAGGCGAGCAACGGAGGGTGACGTCGAATAGCCAACAAAGGTTAGAACAGACAGATGGTGGGTTGCAGCAACATCCAGTGGGCAGCGAGTTGCACCAACCACCAATTATAGGTGACGGGCGGCAGCAGAAAATGGGAGACGGCGACCAATAGCCCAAGGGGGCAATATTGAGCTGACAAGCTACGACAATAATGGCAGACAATACTTTACACAAAGTAGTGTACATATACATTAAAATTGAACTGGAGAATGAACTCCAAATGCGATGTAATGTACACTGCATTTGCTTTTCTTTCAACTCAAAATCAGGATTTTCAAAACTCTTGTATAAGGAAAGCAAATGCACTCTTTCGTTACCAACCAAATAGCCCCATAACAAACTTTATCAAAACATTATTTCTAACTTCAATCAACAAAAAAGTCCTAAAAAAGTATTAAAAGGCAATCCAATTCTCATGGAAAGCACAAGAATCTATTTAGGAGATGAAACTTTTCTGGCAAGCAGACAACACTCATCCTTAATTTTTTTATCATAAAAAGAAATACTTCAAATGTTAATTGTGTAAAAAAATGTTAAAATTTTCTTCATAAATTGTTGTTAGGCATTAATTTTATGATGTAAAATCTAATATTGAAAATATATATTAGAAATTTAACCAACAGACAATTTTTATTGCTTGACAATCTCAATTATTTGTATTTTTATTTTTATTTTTATAATTTTGATGTTGAATACACTAAGCTGATATTAATTCTTTGCTTGAAATTTTAGCCCAAGACTTTGCATTGTTGGAGGTGGAGCCCGGTTAGGCACAATAAAAAATAAAGGAAATAACTTAACTGCTCCCGCCAAGTGCTTTCCCGCCTTGCCCTAGTCCCGTTTCGCGAAATGTCACCGCTCTCTGACTTTGATTCGCGAAACGACGTCGTTCCTGCTCTTTAAGTCGCGAACAAGACCCTTCTTCGGAACTGCTTCAGCGATTGACTGCACTATGTGATATCTGAAGAATCACAGGATGCACTATTATTGACAGTTCATAGTTCTATTGAAGACTTGATATTGAATTCAGGGGCTTTGAATATGGTAGGAAATCTATCAAAGGCCACAGTGCAGGACAGTGATAGAAGTGAAGAGGAAAGTGGGTCTGGGACACCCATTCCTATTGTTCCACAGATAGATGTTGAAGAACCATAGAACTATGAAAAAATCTTGCAAGATGAAAGTTCAAGCAAGTGGGAGTTGACAGAACTTCCACCAAGAAAGAAGACATTACACAACAAGTGGGTGTACCAGGTAAATACTGAGTTTGATGGCAGTAAGAGGTACAAGGCTGAACTTGTTGAAAAAGGCTTTTAGTAGAGGTAGAATATTGTCCATGCAGTGAGAGTTGTAAACAGAGACAGAAATAATCCAAGAAATAGCTTGGAGGTGTAAGGCTATTTGGACCCTGCTGATATGTTGATTTAAGGTGTTACTCTTGAGAAACTGAAGTTGTGTACTGCTTCAGTTATTCTTCTGGAGTGACAACAGAGGCTTTGAGTTGCAGAGGTGGAGGATTCAAGTTGAAAGATTCGTGGATGATTCATGGTAGAGGATTTATGTTTGAAGAAAAAGGGTGACGCAGCCAGTGAAGGATATCGGTTTGAGGAAGAATACTTTGTAGTCTGTTTACCGGTCTCCAAGTAGGAGATTTGTTGAAGGTGGAGTCCGGTTAGGCACAAAAAAAAGGAAATAACTTACCTGGTCCAGCCAAGTTCTTTCCCCTTCCGTTTCGCGAAACGTCACCACTCTCTGCCTTTGATTTGCGAAACGACGACGTTCCTGCTCTTTAAGTTGCGAATAAGACCCTTCTCCGGAACTACTTCAGCGATTGACTGCTAGAGGAGGCTTGCGGCCGTTTTTGTGTTTCCTTAGGATAGACGAAGAGTTCTTCGGGTTACCTTGGGATAGAGGAAGAAGGAAGAAGAAAGAAGAAGAAGAAGATTGTTCTTCCTTGACTTCTTCTTGGTGACTTATGGCAGAAGAGAAATTGAGGTTTATTTCTCTTGTAAGTTTGTCTTCTTCGGTGTATCTCGGTGTAGAGTTTCTTCGGTGTATCTCGGTGTAGAGAGAGAAGAACAGAGAGAAAAGAAGAGAGAGCAACGAAATGAGAGATTCCTCTTGTAAGTATAAGTTGAGGTGATCGACTGGTGTACATTCCTCAAGTAGTAAAATTCTCCGCAACTCCGTGGACGTAGGCAATTTGCCGGACCACGTAAATTTGTGTGTTCTTTTCTAGTGTGATTTTTTCTCGTTCTATTTTTCACTTCATCAATCGTTCTCCTGTTTAATTTATATATATACCACAACAACTGGTGTATATATTTAGATCTCGCCACAACATGCATGGATGGGAACGAATGGATTTTCTACATCAAAGTTAAAAAAGGCAACATGAATGGCAAATAACAATTAAAGAAAATGGCAATATTCTTTGTGGTCGAGGATGTCCACTACCACTAAAAAACAGATTCAGCAAATAAGGCGAAGCACATTATATGTGGTGCCAAGTACAAATGAAAGAAGAGATTTGTCATCTCCATGATTTCAGCAATTTATAATAGAATCTTCCTTAAAATCCCAGAAAGAAATTAGAACCGTAAAACTGATATATAATAGCCGGTCTTTGTAAGAAAATTTAAGCAAGTAACAAATCTAGTTTTGTAGGAATTTCTCTTTCCTACTATTGCAACCTTCCTGAAAGTTGTGTATTGTCTATCTCTCTCCAATTCCGCAAGTAATAAATAAATGTCATTTCTTCTATAACAATTTATTTATATGTCTTTTGGTATAATATCCATAAAAGGCTAAATTAACTTCAAAACATTTTGTATATTTGACGTAAAATTAAAGAAAAATTAGCGAAAGATCTTGGAAAGAAAAAGTTTCAAGATAATTTGATACAACTTTGGTCAGGATGGGCCTTAAAGCTGTTGGATTTGCCTTAAGAAGGCTGTAATACCATTTTGTCATTTATAACACTAACCTGAAAGCGAATCCAACATTTTCAAAGCCCACCCTGATAAAAGTTTGGTAAAGGTGTCCTAACACAATCATTTTCCTCAAAATTTTTTATCAATCCTATAAATTCGTTGACCATTCTAGCTGGTGACATCTTGAACTAAAACTTCTAATGTCATAACTCAAAACAGCATTATTTGATGAATCCTAAAAAATTTTCGCAGTGACCCCTAAAAGGGATTATTTTAACGAAGAACAATAATACAGACATTAAAATTTCTAAATATAAAATATCTTTTAAATAGGGAATACAAATATAAGTGGTCTATTCATTCATGTAAATTGGAAGAGTATCCGCTGACTAATGTGTTTTGCTTGTGCTTTTGCAATAATTATGATTATATCGATGAAAGACACTGAAATGAGACCAGGAAGACTGATCTGGTAAGGCACCCACACCCACCCTATATCTTTATCTTTCATACATAGTCATTTTGTCCCTAGCTCGTCGTCCTATTACTTCTTGCTTATTTATTTAGCTTCTTGGCTTGCCCCAGAATCTACTATCCAAATCTAACTGAATGTAAGCGAAAAGCACTCGTTTTCTTTTATAATTGGGATTGGGGCTTACCAACTCTAGCGCCTCTATCTTTCAAGCACAGTTGAATGAAAATAGCATCTTTTTGGCATACAAAGGGAAATAATCGATCTATTTACCTTACCCCTTGAAACTTTGTATGTTGTTTGATCCGTCTATTCACTCTTCTTAATATGCTTATTCTCTGACCAAAAATGTCATGCCATGCAACAACTTCATATTCTTTTCTTTGGCAAATTTCTCGCAACTTCAACTGTAAACCCATGGCCACCTTCTAGCAAAGAATACAAGACATTTTCTAGGCCTAGAGCTATGTATATGTTTCAATGTCAATGAAAGAATTGGTTTAGGAAGTTTTTTTAAGTAAATGAAGTGTGTCAATCCTTTCCTATACAAAATCTACCAAACCGGTGAAGTACATGATCTAGCCCTTTCTAATGTGAGAAATTTACAGAATGTGGCTTTCTTTTTCAGAAAGAGGCATTTACATGGATTTTTCTTGGTCTTGTGTTTATAATGGCTATTGAATGATCTTGGGCGATTGCTTTTGTCCATATAATGCATGCAAGTATAGTTTTTGGTTGGGCGGGCTCGATGGCTCTATATGAATTAGCGGGTTTTTGTCCCACTAACCTTGTTCTTGATCCCTTGTGGAGACAAAACGTGTTTGTTATACCCTTCATGACTTGTTTCGAAATAACCAATTAGTAGGGGAGCTGGAGTATCTAAGGAGGAACTCTAAAAAATCTGGGTATTTGGAGTTATGAAGACGTGACAGAGACACATATTGTGGTTTCTGACTTGTGCTTCTTGGCAATTATCCAACATTGGGTAGGTATCTAGAAAGATTTTGTTATGAATGTACGAGAAAAACTTCTTTGTGCCCAAGATCTTTGTAATTCATTTTCTTACCATCCATTATGGATTTCTACATTTCAAACTCACTAGACAGGAGAGCTTACTTGCCCACTAGATTCATTAACAAAATTTTTAGTTTGCCACGGTGAAAAAAATAGCTTGAAAACATGCTAGCTAGCTTGCCTAGCGCCTTATGATTGCTGGAATTTTCATCCTATGTTGGCTCATAATCTTAATCTTTCCCTGCCTTGAGAGTAAGAAAAAAAATAGAGGTTTGCACATCTCTAACACCTTTCTTTTCTTCAACAACTAGGTACGCAATTCGCCATGAAAGCTCTTGATGATCTGAGGTACTTTATCGGTATTGAGGTTTCTAAAACATCTCATGGGTACAACATGAGCTAACATAAACCTTTGAGTTGATTTGTTCGATTTAATGCTACATACTACTTACTATAGAGGGTCGAAACTTCTGAAAGTTCATACTTCATTATTCTTCACATGTTCCCACATTTTCTTGAATTAAAACAAACCCATCTACCTTACTGTCAAGCGAGCTGATATTGCTCATGCAGTTCCTAATAAAGTAAGCTGGCGCCTCTACTTCCAAATAGAGCGCACTATTCAAATCTCAAAACTAGAGTGCGTAAGCAAATAAGCAGTAGTTTGTTGGATGAGATTTGTCGAGTGCAGGGAATAAAGGCATAATAGTACTAGATAGTTCTAATCTTCCTTCGCAAACAAACTAAGACATGTGGTCTCAGCACAATTGTCCGCTCATAACTACCTCAGAAAAAAAAAGTACGAAAATCAACATGTTCCTGCATATGCCGGCTGACATCATCCCAGCAACCTTCTCAAGCTATATGCCTATTCTTACTCAATCTCGTGCTCAGGATTCTGTGATCGAGTGTGCTTGTCCTACTGTACTCCCAGAGCTTGATCTTATCTTACCAGTCTCTAATTCAAACTACCATCCCAATCCCAGCCTTGAGATGCCCTTTCCGCTGAGGAGGTTTTTATCAACTGCTCCTCCAGTTCCATCTCTTTAAAAAATACTTGGACTGATATTTTGATGTATGTCTGCTTAAGGAAGATCGAGCGAAAACAACATCATAGGATCAGAATGTTCCAGTTCAAAGCATTATTCTCCTCGCTAAAAATGACCGGTCTACTCTTATCTTACAAAGACAAAAGAGTTTCATCTCGTCATCAATATGATAAATGAAAAAGCAAAAACTAAAGCTTCTATAAAATGAAAAGAACTGACCCGCATTCCGTCTCCCACGGGTTTACACAATCTTTGTTTTTAGCCATGGGCAATTTAGAAAAAGATAGTTCACTTCTTTTTTCTTTCGATTCCGCATTTTGTTAGTTCGTGCCACCATTAACATATCTATCTTCATTTCTTTCTCAATAGCAAAAATTCCACCCTATAACTAGACTAAGTTCCTTCTAGTCCTTAAAAGGAGAAGTCATCTTTAGAATTTCTTGTTTCTAAAAGACCTATTTTTGCCCGAATTCTACCATTTTGAACCGGGTTTTTCCTCCTAGCTTCCATTTAGTGGGAGTGTCCTCCCATCAAGCCTATACTAAGTAAGTGTGACTATAATCATCTGTTTTTCAGGTTCTTAGAGCCGCTAAACGGTAGGAACAAACAGTGAGATAGCTCCAAGAATATTAATTATTTATACGGAATTACTGAAACCAATTTAATTTGATCTAATCTTTTATTATTTTTTATTACATTAATCATTAATTAGTAATCTACTAAGCTAATTAAATAATAATTTCTATTTAACTAATTTACATAAAAATAATAATTTAATTACATTCACATCTCCTTGACCTATATTAATTACAATAAAATTTATTAAATTATAACCAGCTTACGATAACATATCAATTAATTATTAATTTCATTAAAAATAATTCCTATATAAAAAATTAAACTAAAAGTAATATCAATTAGCTTATTTTAATTAGTAAGGCTGATTTCAATTTTAAATTAATATATCTATATCAAATTTTATTTACTTAATATTAATGATTTTAATTTATATTTTCTTATCAAATCCGGTTACACTAAATATATCATAATTATTATAAAATAAAAAGTGTATTCATAATTATTTAATAATTTACAAAATAATTTAAAATAATAAGTTTTATTTAATCAAATTAAATCACATATAATTTTGATTTAGTTAAATTAATATATTAGATTACTTAGGGCTTGTTTCGTGGTGGCTTTTAATAGAATTTATCACCGGATTTACTAAATTCAACCCAATGCGTAAATACAAGTATTTTGGAAATTTGGATTTAAGGCCCCAAGTTTTACTTTAGATTCGACTTAAATCTGGATCTACTAAAATCCAAGGGTAGGGGTGGACTTAACGAATTTACGATTTAAGGATTTACTAAATCCTAAGGCTAAAAACTACTTGCAGCCAAACATCCCTTTGTATTTATTATTTTTTTATTTTAAAAAAATTGAATTATGCAACCAAATATTATAAGTCGTACCAACATATCTAATTCTTCTCTATACCTTTCGCTTCTACCCACAACGCTTGTTGATAAAGTTGCGACTTGCTAAAATGGCATGGAGAAAATCACGACATATGAGGGAGAAGGGGAGTTCTTGAGGAGAAGTGTGGCCAAACCCTCTCTCTCTCCACCCTTCAGCTCCTAACAAATCCAATATTATGAAAATCATATCGGCCATTGAACTGAAAGAATGAGAGGTTTAAAACTTGATGCTTCAACTAGGGCCGAACCAAGGATTGAACGGATGACGTGATAAATATTAAAATTAATTTAATATGATTTAAATGATGCATAATATAAATATATGATAAATATGTGATAATAATAAAAATTAAACACACATAACATCTTTAATAATTATAAATTTACATTTTCATATAAAGGTCATGAAGGTATAATTATATATGTATTATAAATAGATAAATTGATTATATGCATCGCCTACTCAGATCAGTTGTCCGGGCATCTGCTTGTCAGTTGCAAGTCACCTCTGGTCCGGGGTTCGAATCCCTCTGGTGTAGGGTGTGGTACTCGAATAATTAAGTGCATGAGGGGTAGCCGAGGCTAATATCATACCCTCCGACCATTTTTTTATTTAATATATATATATATATATATATATATATATATATAAACCTACTATTAACCTCCTGATTTCAATTAAACCTAAACACAGTCACACACACGCAGATATATATATATATATATATATATATATATCAATAATTATTATAATAATTAATCAGAAAAAAAGTATATAAAATAAAAAAAAACAAAAGTTAAAATTTTTTTATAATATTCCTACTTTATAGTCCTATTTAATATTTTGAAAGTCCAGCCAATTTCTTCATTTTTGCAATTTTTTTAGTCCAACATCATTTAAAACTTAGCATTTCAATGTTATAGAAAAAAAAAGTTCTATAGCATAGCTCCTAAGTCACTTAGGTGGTGGGCATATAATGAATCACTTTGTTTACTCATACTAATTTTTATATTTAAGATTTTAAGTTCATAATTATATGTTTGACATAATATAATTTATAAAATTAAATTTTATATAAAAAGTTTAACAATGTAATTGGAAATAAAAAATAATTAAATAGATAAATGGAACCGAACAGTTCTTTAAAACCAAAACAAGTTTATCGGTGCGACTGGTCGTTCACATCAATTTTTATCGCTTCGATACAAAAATGGTTATCGAATCTAAAGTAAAACTTGGGGCCCAATTCATGATCAAACCGGTTGAATTGCCCGGTTCGTTCTGGTCTGGTTTTTAGAATCTTGACCAAAACACTCAAGGAAAAAAAAAAGTTAGAAGTCATGAAAAGAATTGTAGGCAAATACATCAACACGGGCATTCTTTCCCCCTTTCCCCTACTTTGTGTGTTTCTATTTGCTAAATCTCCTAAATTCTTTGAACTTGCAGATAGAGTAAATCCAGGATTTATACCAAACTAGAGGTCAAACGGGATTTAAAATTCCTTAGGATTTAAAATGTCCATTTCAAATGTTTGGCAATATTTACTAGAAATCCCGCATAAATCCTGCTCGGATCCAGCTACCAAATATCACCAAAGAGTAATTTTGCATCTATACAATCTACTTTACAGTCTTTTTTAGCGAACCAAGTAGCTGATTATGCAGCAACCTTAATCGAAATGTCCAAATCTGCATAAACTCAATGATAAAGTAAGAAGTCAAGAAGAATGGCATGCTTAATTACTATAAGCGAAAAGGATGTACCTCACCAACACCAACTCGAAAGGTGATCGGCTTCCCTCGATCATAGCTACTATCAAACACCTTTCCATTCTCCAATCTCCCCACATAGTGCGCCTTCCACATAAAAAAAACTTCATCAAAAGGGTAAAATATCAGAAGGAAATTTTTCTCACAGAGCAGAACCGTACTTTTATGAGAAGACCCTTAGTTGCCCCCCCGCCAGAGCCTACAACTCGGTCGCAGAAGGCAAGGCCGGAGGGAGAAACCGTGAGCGTGCAGTCAGGCTCTGATGGTCTTTCAGTGGCAATGGCCGAAGAAGGAAGGATAAGAGAGGAGACATCGAGCAAGGAGGCGAAG